AGAGAGAGAGAGAGAGAGAGAGAGAGAGAGCGAGAGAGAAAGAGAGAAAATGTGTATTTTGTGCACTTGTAAATAAGTGAATAAGTTCACATGAATGAATAAATGAACAAACAAATCATATATATCTGTATATATATTCGTACATATATATACACACAGAAAAGGATTTAAAAATAACTGCTGACCAAACCAAAGTTTACTAACGTTGTCCCACGCCGACCGCCCCCGCCTCGTGGCATAGGCGTGGCTGGGGAAAGGCGAAACCAGTACCTTCAGAGGTCTGTCTCTGTTTAAACATTCAGAACAGGGTCCCCGTCTTCAAAGGAGTTCCAAATACATTACATACCTACTTTAGGCTCCCTTCCTTTGGCTTTTAGGGAGCGGGACTCGCGGAACTCGACCAAGAATTATGGAATCTCTGCAACTTCTTTGGAGAGTCGGTGGGTCTATTTTTTATACTGTGCTGAAAGATACTTCGGTGGAAAAGGTACTGGATGAATGGAATTCCGTGGCGGCGGGGAGAACGTGGCTCGTAACGGCGGTGATCATGTTATGTACAGTATACAGCGTATGTTTATAAAGTCTAAGGGCATAGGTTAGTACTATATATCAGCGAAGTAAAGAGTAAAGAAGATATCGGGTTTAGGGAAATTTACGAAATATTTCTGCCGTATACGCGATAGTTTTTCGTTATTCTTTTATCAAAGAAGAAAAAAATAATACAAATAGGTACTCGGAGTGCTATGTATATATAAAATTCAAACTAAATCCACGGCTATAGTGTAATCATGCTACCATTACAATACACACTACCTGAAACCATAGCAGACATACTGTAGAATACAAAACCAGACATGGACACGCACATTCCGCCTCTCTGCCCTGTGCCGTCAGCCCCCCTCCCCCCTACCTCTGACGCTACTAATGTTTGCGAGTCGAAAAGGCAGGCGCTTGATGCCATGTCGTTCTGAGAGCCAATAACTGCAAATGAACACTCGGGAATCCTTTGAACAAGAAACGAACGACGTCAAACTCAAAGCGATCGGCAGCCTTTCAAGTTTGGCGGGGAAGTTGGCGACTGGCGGAGAGGAGCAAATTCCGGCTCATTATGTGCGAATCGCGGCGAAAGTACGTTGTGACTGAGTACAGCGAGAGATGTCTAGATTAGTTGTATGAAGTCGTTGTTTTGTTAGTTTAAATGTTTTACTGTTTTTCACTTTTTTTTTGTTTGCTTATTTCTTTTTCTTATCAAGGATAATTTATACGGTTATCTGGATTATTTGATGGCTGCATTCTGTGAATTGCAAACAAGAAGAAAAAATAGTTATTTACCCTCTTACTTGATTAATTCTTATTCTAAATTGCGCAATACCTACTCACAGAGTAGGTATGGCTCCAGAAGGACCTTTCTCCACCCACACGCACGCGCACGCGCACACACACACACACACTCACTTACTCACTCACTCACCCACTCACTCACTCACTCACTCACTCACTCACTCACACACACACACACACACACACACACACATTTCAACGAATTACCTGTAATCAGTGCAAACCCCATGAATGAAAAACTACATATGCATAAAAAATACACCCAAGTATAACCCTAATCGACTAAAATTGATCTCAGCGGAACGTATAATTCCCAGCAAGTAATGACCCATCATCCACCAGATACCGAAGACACATTACAAAGAAGAATCGCAAGAAAATAAGAAAATTAACAAGAAATAAAAGCAAAGAGAAAGGAGGCCGAAGATCACCCGACAAGAAACGCTGGAATCCAAAATCCTCTCACAACAAAACCTCAACATATAATCAACATTTAAAGCATATTACATCCGAGCGTTATGTCACAGTCCAAATATCATTAGTTAAATAAATATATAAATGTGCATAAACCTGCCCCCTCTCCCCTCCCCCCCCACACACACCCTTTTTTCAGCCAAGCCTCCCAGCGCCTTCAGCCTTGTAAACACTGTCAGTCTCTTTCATGACTGCTTATGAATTTAAGTCCGAAAGTTGTATAAGGAAAGAGTTTAAGAGTTCTGTAACTTTTCTGGCGGATAAAAGGCGAGGCAGAAGGGAAGATAAAGAGATAGATTTTTTTCTTTTTTCTTTTTTCTTTTTTTTTTGGCAGAAAGAAAAGTGAAAGGGTTACACAATGGATGAAGTTCGTCTGTTTGTCTGCCAACAAGACTGACGAAGAACGGATACGAGTGTAATAATGGAGAAAAAAACAAAAAAACAAAAAAACAGAGAGCGTCTTGTGCTTAAATTGAAATATTCTCTCGAAGGATAAATTTGCATCGTCCACTCTGGCAGATGTACGAATGTATGTAAATAAAATTGAGTCTAGACATTCAGTGCACTTGCTGGACACCTTGCAGAAAGTGTGCGCTGCAGTGTGTGCTCTCGCTGTCGGCCTCTATATTTCCTTGCCTATCTGTCATCTTGTGCATATATATGTATATGTAAATACATACATACA